GGCATGGGCTTAAATTTGAAAAATAATGTTGAAATATTGCACAATATTCCTAAAAATCCAACAATTGTTGTATATACTAAATATTGTTCCTTTCCCTGAATAAATCCCTAGATTATGTTAAAAATAAAGGCTCCCATTGCTAAGCCAAGATTGGATACTGCAAACGATTGGGAATTATTACTAAATTCAAAACCAAGCATTTCATTTGATAAGGTATTATTTGAACTATCTTATAAGCCCCAGATAAAAGTTAGGACGTAAGTAAATAGAAACCAAGATTACATTCAACAATGCAGTCTTTTTATTCCCGTATTTATCTATCATCCAGCCTGAAAAAATGCTGCCCATTATCTCACCAGCTCCAAATGATACCATTGTAAGCATTGACTAAGAAAATTTATATTAGTCATCTCCAATCTTCTCTGTATCAATAATGATAATTACTAATATTCCCGAATAAACAGCAATACTAATACCAACCCATAAAAGTTATGGTATTAATGGTAACATTTTTTTAGTTTAAATGAGATGAAGTACTTCTTGCATCTCTTTTCTCAATGATATTGAAACTCCACTTTGTTTTTAATTTTAAGCTGTGAGCATATTGTTTTCATTATCAAAATGTTTTGATTATTCAAATTTTAAATTATTTTTAGGAATATCCCTAAAATTATTACGATTTTCAATAGTCTTTAGACTATCGTCTTCTTATTGTTTTAATATTTAAACTTCTTCAAGCTAGTTATCAACAGGTAAATATCTTTCTTAAGGAATTGGTTTGGTTAGAGTAATAAAGATAAATATGGAAAATGCTGCAATAGCTGCCATTATAAGTAAAACTTTAGTCTTTTCAAAATGAATTGTAACAAAAGCTGCTATCAAACTGCCTAGGACCATTGATACCATAAACAATCCCCAGTATAAGCTAAAGTAAAAGCCTTTGGTTTCCTCTGTAGCACATTCTGAAATGTATTTACTTCCAGCTACCCATTTAAGGCCGAGACAAAAGCCTTGAATTATTTGAATTAATATTTATGTCGTATATATAAAGCCATTGCTTCTAATAAACATATCATTATTAGTTGTCTTATCAGTAGATAATGCTGGTGGAATAATAGCTAGTATCCATAAAGTGTCAGCAGTTGCTGATATTGATAGACAAAATTTAACTCCTAATTTATCTACAAAAAATGATGCTGATAGACATCCAATACCATAGCATAGAAAGTCTAAAGAAAAGCAAAAAAAGCCTAGTTTTTCATAGTTGCTACTGGACATGATCTATGTATATACATTCTGTGCGGGATTCAAAGCTGTATAAAGAATCAGAAATCCAACTGAACAGTGAACTGCATTGCCCAAATTTGCGTATTGATTTTTCTATTATTATTCGTTGAGTTTCAGTTTTAAATATGGAATCGTTAAATGATATATGTTATATTAAAATTCAAAATTTTAAATAAGTACCAAACTTACAATTAAAATGTCTTAATTATCTTCTAAGGGGTTTTGGGGTTTTGGGG